AGCTCTTGTTCCACATTAGAATGTCCATTCAGGGCCATTGTGAAGAGGTGCATGGCAACTCCGTCTGACATTTGTAGGCCTTCAGTTGTGGGAGACCTCACACTGTGCAGTAAATGGTGCAGTAATGGCCTGGTGAAGCAGTCTCTCGTGGCTGGCTTCCCTGCTCAGTCAGCATGCCCACACTTACCACTGACATTTCATGCCCGGGAAACTACCATACAGGCAAAATGCATATTGAGTAAAGCAAGTTCCAAAATTGTTAGTGGTACGGTATTGGCATGCCCACTGAGCCCCTCAATTCATGCAGAAGCTTTGGATGGGCAGTTTGATGCAAGTTCAAACTCATCCTATTGAATGATGAACCATTTCTTCAAATTGACAGTCCTCAATCCTCTGATTACAGTGTGATTTTACATACCCCAAGGGGACTCGGGTTAGTGTGCATTGCACGAAAGAAGATGCTGATGTGTCAAAGCATACCTTATGTACCACCTAACAAGTATTCTGTTACTGATTCCGGAGAGTGTGAAACAAAGCTTGTCCAAGCAGGCTAATTTTTAAAATTCATAAATCGCTTAATGTAATCTACAAATCTAATTTTAAAGTTGCAGTCAATTCAGTGATTGTTCAAACTGACTCAATACCACTGGATAAACCATTTGATCATCAGTTGCACATGAAGAAACGCACCTGTAAATGAACTTCAATCAAGGTGAAAATGTTAATCCCATGAACCCACTGACACAATGCTGGTTGCAGGTACATGTGAATAGAATGATTTGCTTACGAACGGAGTGAACACTCTTCCTTGGGTCCTCTCTTCCGTTTGGTATGATTAATCGGAAGCGTTTTGCACCCGACAACTTCATCAGAATCCCCCCCCTGCTCAGCTGCCTCGGCTCTCACAGCTGTTTCCGCGGAGATCCGCATACTAGTGTCAAGCCAGGAAATTGAGTGGAGAGTCCGCGGGTCTCTTATATGGTCTCTTGACAGGTTTTTTTTTCCCCGTCTTTGACAATGAGCCGCCGTACAGAAAGAAATCTACAGGAAGCCAGCAGTAGGAACTGTAGCCGTGCAAACAGACAGGATCGATACCTCCCGCCGAGAGGTGTCATGGCCCCTCTGTCTCGCCGCGCAAAATCAAGAGTTTGATTTGTTGGAAACAAGAAGATGCATAGTATAGAGAGAGAAACCCAGGCCGAGCAGTATGTGGGGAAAATACCCCAAAAGAAAAGCTTGGTCTGTCATTTGCCTTGGAACGGAAATCCTGGACGCAGTACGACGACAACTGTATCATTCTTTGTTACATCTACTCCAAATATACTTTCATATGTAAGAGCGATAAACATGGAGTGTGCTAATTTTCTGGCAGGGCTTTTTGTGGCATAAGCAGTTTCTGCACCAGCAAAAAAAAACTAAACAAGAACATACAAAACAAAGAAATTTTTAAAAATCCCAAAGAACAGACCCTTCAATTCTAAACAATTTACACTCAATTTAAGTGATTCAGTGTTGATTTGTCCCTTTTCTCAACAAGATTCAAAGCTCCTTCCAGTGAAAGTGACCAAGGGGGGAAAAACAGCCGCCTAGAATACACGGACATGGCTGTGAAATACACTTGCCGTGAAGGAGGGACGGTTAGGCCCACTGTGCAGAGAAAATTCAAACAGAAGACACAAGTGCCTTCTTCATTTTAATCAGCCTCACTTGTATACACATGTGGCACTGAGTCCGGAGGTGTACATGTACTTCTCTCCTCATTCCCTTGTGCAATTAAACGCCGATTCCTCGACCTGGTTTGTGAGGGACGTCGGTCATGGTAGGGATTGTCTCTTGCCGCGGGGAGCATGTCCAAGCTGATAGCATCGCTTGGCCACCACTCACTCTATAAATCAAACACTAAGTGCATTATCCCGCTGAGCCAGAGAGATAGCCTTAACAGTCAGCCAAACCCCTGCCTCATTGGTCTGGCCGATTTATATCTTGCGTACAACTTTTGCTGTAAGCGTTTAATGATGCAAATTTACTCATTTAAAAATTTTGTAGGGAATCATCATGTGAACTTATTTAATCAGATGTCGTTCTACATGTTGGAATGACGATTTTCTAACATTTTTTATGCATATGTACATAGCACTATTGCACAAAATATTAGATTTTGGGGCCAATTCATGCATGCAGGCATGTCACTCCTTGAACAGGCAGATGTGTTTACACAATACATTGTATATGGATTCATGGCACCACATCTGAAAATAGGTAGGCATCTTATTTGAAACTTGATGTGAACCAGACTTGTCAATATTGTGCCGGGTGTGAACTTGGATAAAAAAAAAACTTTTCTGGAGTCTTTTAGGCAGCACTGGTGGAATGCACGCCTGAAAGGAGAGGAGTGCCACGCACTATGGGCAAACAGGGAGGGACTTTTTGAGTTTGGGGAGAAAATGGAGCACAGTGGCATACCCATCCCGTCCCCCCTTTCAGGCATGGCAACACCTTTTTTAGGGCAGATACACCTGTTTTTTTCAGTGGCTGCATGTTACTGTGTGGAGGCATCAAACTCGGTTTATGGCCATCCTGAAAGGTTTTATCGGGCATGGGTAGTATCAACCACATAGGCTTATGAGGGGTGTGTTTTGTAGGCCAAAGGCAAATGGAGGCATTTAAATGCAATATATACGTGTAGATGTACACCTTTTGCATTCTGCAATAGGACGGACGTGGGGGGTTGCAGTTTCTAGTCATTCTCATTCCACAGGCTTTTGTGTGAATACAAAACAAAATCAGAAAGACCGGTTTTCCTTTTTCACCATCACTTTGTGTTGCAGAAGAGCTCAGGTCGTTCATTACGGTGTGAACAATGCATGTACAAGGTCATTTACTTGATGGAGCATTTAAAACAAGTCTTTTGTCCAACAATCACTTGTCTGGATATTCATTGTAAAATAACTAGCCCACTCCCTTTTTTGGAGCAAATCCTCCACTGGTTAGCATTGGCCCTGAAATGTCAGTTGGCCAAAGGTCCTTTCTCCGGATGTCTCTAAAATGCAGAAATCAGAATACTGCTCACTGCTTCCTGAGGGGGCCATGTTTGTGACAATGCCACTTACGTCTGCATCTGACATAGATCTGTTCTATCTGAGGGACTTAACCTACATACATGTACATGTATTCAAAAGAAAAAGTGACAACCCTCTCCGAGCTATGAATTTACATGTAGATTGTGGAAATGACCGCAGGGGGGCTTCTCATTCTTAGTGATGAGAATATGGACTTGTAATAAGCAGGGCAGTGCCGTCTCCACAGTGTAATGACTCGGTTGGGTTTGTCGACGTGCATGAGTCTGAACATTGCCTGGCCTCCTGATGAACGTCAGAAACCTCCCGGTCCACCAAGCTACCTGGAGTTTCTTGTGACGATGAACTCTGGTGCAGAGCTAACTTCACACCAGTGTTTTCAACATGCACATAAACTCGCTCTGTAACCACTGTATTTTGGGTCTGCACTGACTTGGCCCGCAGCAGCAAAGGAAACATCGCTGCAGTGCTCAACAAGTTGTGGCATCCCAGTTAAGCTCTCTGGTTCCACTGAATTTATCTGTCTCTCAGCCAATAAAACCCTCTCGTCGAGAATGGCGTTCAGTGATTGAAGGGACATTTGGAGTGGTTTCAGCTGTATGCATGTGCTTGTAGTTTCACTGCACTTCTTTTAGCACATCTGTCAATGAACCGCAGTGCTGTATACAAGCTATACATGTTTATAACACCTAGCCCACAGACACTGTATCTAGATTGGATGAGAACCAGTCACATTGGATTAGCTACACATATTTAGCTATCATGTACAGGGCCAAAAGAACTGTACCCATAGCAGTCAAAGTTCTGTGCCCACAGCATTGCAGCAACCAAAGAAGCAACCACCAGCACTGCATTGGAAGTCATTTGCTTTCCAAAGCGTCATAGGGTTACAAAGCTGGCTTCAAACATTTTGAGAATAGATAGAAAGGTGCTGGTAAATTTTCAAAAAAATTCTTAATATTAAAGTATATTTTTATTAATTTTATGTTTACATGCAGTTAGATGAAATTAATCAGTTATCCCTTAAATCAAGCAGAATCTGCGGCATAAGTGTTATCAAACAAATATGGACCGCTCTTTCTCCTGGTGTAGTAAAACCAGCCTCCCTCTGAATAATGAAGCATTCCATTGTCCCTCAGCTTCGCCTTGAGAAAACAGGATTCTCGGTGGAGCACCTTGGGAGTCCAGTTTTACCACACCGCCCCCAAAGTGGTCAATATTTGTATAATATACTGACACCAACTTTGCTAGCCCAAGCCTCGCTGGCTTCCCACATTTCAACTGAGAATCATTACATGTACTTGTAGAGCCTACATGTACCTTGGCATTCCAAGCATGGCATACGTGTACATTTAAGTGTACGTGGACATTTCAATTTGTTTTTTGCTTATCCACAGTCTGTGTATATTACTCTCTGTTTTCAATGAGCGTGCAGTCTAAATGTCCTCGTTCTAGTGAAGCTTAAGACACGGGAATTCTTGTGTGGTCATACTGTTACCAATCCAAACATACCCTTTTATCACACAAGAGACAGAACTGAAGTAAAAGCAGACTTTGTAAGCTGAAACTGGGAGGGTACTTCAGTTCTTTAACAAGTGGTAACTTTGACAAGAAAAAGGAAATGTTCGGAATCGTATGTGAAACTTATTTCTGTCTGGTCTGGGTGTACATCTACAATGTACAGTAGGTTGCATGTGCAGCAACATAGCACTCTTAGTAATGGAAAGTGCAATTGAATGTGTAACAGATGTGTGCATGCCGTGGTTTTGAAGTGTACTTTTATAGATGGTGCAGTGAGCAACGGTAACAAGCGTGTGGGGATAATGGCCCATGCGTCAGGCCACAATTGATCCGCTCACCAATATTTTTGGGATCCTTGGAATAAATTTGCCCGTCATTTCCTTTCTCCCTTTTGCTCTGCAGAGCGAGAGACTGCATCAAGGCGGCCATCCTGGACAACGACTTCATGAAGAATCTGGAACTTTCGCAGATCCAGGAGATTGTGGATTGCATGTACCCGGTGGAATATAGCAGAGACAGCTGCATCATCAAGGAGGGAGACGTGGGCTCGCTCGTTTACGTCTTGGAAGGTGAGCTTACGCTGTCACGGTCTGTCTCTCCTGAACTCTTAGTGAATGTTTTCCTCTCAATAAAAAAACCCTCCAGACACTATTCTGCGTAAAATTGACTGGCTGTGAGGGCAGTGTTTGCCACCGTCATAGTTTACCACCGGTGGCTATTAAAACTATGGCTGGCCGTTAGCACGCAAGAAAAAAAATAATTCTCTGAGCACTCAGTGAAAAAAAATCTGACTCAGCTATCCAACAAACCCAATAATGAACATGACTACTAAATATTGAATAAAAAATGACGTTTTTGAAAGCAGTTGGGCAAATGTCCATTTTTCGGTAAATTCTCAAACCAACCAAGGGTGATGCTCCTGCAAACGTTGACCACTAATACAACCTGAGAGGGGTCTGTACTTATCTGTTCACATTTTGTGTTTAGAAGTGGATTGAAAGGATGGAAAGTTAAGCCAAGACCTGTCGTCTAAATCATACCAGTCGGTATGTGCTCATACTTCCAGCACCGCTCATTTGATTGAGTTTCTGAACGTCCACAAAAAATTCCGGCCAGCCCGGCCAAACTACCGGCAGTACTGTGCTCAATGCACGTGTACCCTGCTTTGTGACTGGATCAAGCGAGACACAAATTTCAATCAGATGCCTGTAGAAGCCCGTGTGACAGCCGTCGTCACCCAGACAGTGAGACATGTTTCCATTTGCATCCAAATCTAAATGAGAAAAATAACAAGCATATACGCAGTTACACATATGTGTACATGTAACTGTAGGCAACTACCTTCAGTGTTCAGAGAAGTCAGGATTGGACGTTTCGATATTTTTTCCTATCTTTTAGAGGCTTCGTTTTTTTTGAGTTTCTTAGGTCCTCCGGGTACGCCTCAGAAATCCATTCTTGTGTGTCCCCTTCCTTATTAAATTTGCAACAATTTTGGCTCCTCTCTCAAATGTCAACGGCTCTGGAGAGCAGGCTCCATTCTCTCCCCGGTGCGCACTCACAATTGTTATCTGTTTGCGCACGCCGAGACAAGTTACGGGCCACCGCAAAAGTTGGAAATTGGTTTGCAGTACTTGCAAGATCTGTAGGGAAATGAAGTCGGCAGTGTTGACAAGCTGTACGTTTTCAAGTATTTTCTGTAAGAATTGAGACGGGGACGTATTGAATCAGAAGTGAAATAATGTTAATTCCACACCACAATCCCATGTTCCGGCATGTATTCCTGTAAATAGACCAATCTTTTCCTGCAGAGGACGGAACCCTATGGGTGCAGTGCACCAAGTCAAGCCCCACTGAAAACAGTGTAATGTCCAAAAAGTTCAAGGCTCGTTAAACATGCAAGCCGACATTACTGGAGTTTCCCAAACACAAGTTAAATTATTATGACCAACCCTGGGTTGTATTCCCATTTTTATTCTCAACATGTATATTGTACATACACTGTGTGTACATGTACATACATGCACAATGTCTCTCAGGGATGAGATTTCTCAGCTTTTAAGCTGATTTCAGCTTTTTCTTGTTTTGGATTTCAGCTTTTTTTTCTCACTGGCTGTGTACAAAAGTATAGGAGATTTTCACAGTTCAGCTTCTTTATGCCTTTTTTTCAGCTGTTTCCCAGCTAGTTTTATCATTGGTCAATCTCACCCCTGGTCTCTCTGCAACGTTCATGTGAGGAAACCTGTTAATTGTGACCGTATGCATTTTTTGTGGACCTCTACACACTGCAGCCCAATGCAACTTTTTTTGTCAATTAGTCATGGAGGTCCTCTCAGTGTAAAAGTTTGCAGAAGACCGTTGTCTGTATGCCCCAGCCAGCCCAGCATTGAGGGGACAATTCCTTTTGTCGGGAAAGTCGGAACCACTTTTCTTTTGGGAACAAACATTTGTGACCTGTCACCACAAAATGAGCTGAAAGTTGGAATTTTCAAAAATTGAGATATTGTTATTTTTGAGTTCAGTGCAGAAAAAGAGCTCCCAAATGGCATGTACATGGAACACTTAGGGTAGAAGTACAAGGTGACAATGTGACATTATTCTGGCAGCTTTGCGTCTTTGTTCCCGACATTGTTTTAACATTTCAGACCAGGCATGCATACTGCTGTGAAAAGGACATTTTTCACTCTTTGATCCCGCAAAATAATTGGAATTAAATAGGAGACGGGTTAGTCTTTCCAAATGTTACAAAATTCCCAAATTAACCTCCACTTCAATATGATTTCGAACCTTCAAAATAGGAAAGAGCGAAATACGACTTTACATTCATTTTGTCGTGACGGGTCACATTTATCCCCATTTTTTTCCATGGTTACTATCCTTCAAGACGTGAGTAGTCCCCACAATGTCCACATCTACAGTCACAAGTACACACACTGTATGTGTATGTGTGCCGGCCTTGTCATCTTTATGTGAACCCAAGAATAAAACAGGTCCACGCAATCCATTAAAGCTAGGCCCATGCAAGGTTTTTCCCTCTCTGAAGAACAGGCTTAGAAGCATTTTTGGCCTGGGGTCCTCCACGGCAAAAGGAAGAGGTGCAGTTAGTGAAACCAACATCAGATAAACAGCTTAAAATATTTGCCACTATTTAAGAAAAATTCATGAGTAATATCACGAGACTTCATTGCCGTACACGAGGAAAGGAATGTCCATACCGGGCTTGTAATGCAAACGTGATGGTTGTATGTGGTGTTAGGCCCATAGCCACACAGGCATTCAAGTGGCTGTCATCTGTCTTTCAATGTCACTATTGGAGGGCTGCAAGCAGGAAGTGCATTGCAGTGTAATACGGCCAAACTTCAAGTCTGTATATGATCGTAAAGGGCATGATGTGCAGTTATGTATTACTATTGTGTCTGGGTTTTTTTTTTCATTTTTTTCATGTGATATACACGTACATTGTACATGTGGGAGAATTATGCTGGTAATGCCTGGTGGATTGTTAGTTTGGCAGACATTACCATGAATAATTTCTGGTTCTTCTGCATTCAACTATTTTTGTGACGTCACTCCTTTGTTCAAAGTGTAGATTAATTTTTACGAATCTACAGCAAACTGTAGATTCGTAAGGTACGAATCTACAGTTATTGTAGATTTGTAACGTCAAGGGACTTACCCTCGTTTCCTTGGCCCCCTCATTTCGGCCGAAGTAGTGCTGACTGAAGGGGTGGGGGAAAATTTAACCTTGCTGTAGCACTGTGAGCCTGATTCTTTTCATCCTCATAACAGCCACAGTGGGCAAATTTAAGGGATATCAGGAATGGCCACATTCCTGCCTTATTGTGTATGTCGATGGTTCACGTAGCCAAAACCTGTGCATGAGTGAATGGAACAAGAGTGTAACAACGGGAAATAGTTTAAGTCAGAGAATAGACTCGGAACTGTAGATTCGTGCAAGAACGAATCTACAGTTCCTCGTTGTTGACAGATTTACAAAGTTGCTGCTTCATGTTGGAACCTTACTTAGAGTTAATCATTCTGGTAAGAAATGGTTCCATCTTGTTCAAACTGATTGCAAGACCTGGAAATGCTGACCACTTGAGTCGGCCAAGAAGCTGTAATTGCGATGTTTCTCAGATCGTGTGCTGAATACTCCATCTCATCGCAGAGACAAGTTGGATGCAACATTCACTCACTCAAGAACATCATGTTCTTCGCTGACACTGTTGTGGACTTGAATTATTACATGTACGTGCCTCAATTTTCATTCATGGCCTGTCAGTCCACATTACCCATTTCCTCTCTGAACAAGTGAAAGACAAAAAAAAAAGTCATCACCACTGCATAGTCGTAAAAAGCTTAATTTCCCCCGAAGAGGGACACATTATAATATGCTGCTCTGCTTCCAGATTGAGAGCAAAGAAGTTATTAGATCCGGCTGATTAATTTCTTGGATGAGCAGTTCGGTGCCTTTTTCCCCCCTTCCGTGTGGAATGGGCCACAGCTAGCGTTGTGTCCGCTGGTCGGCTCTTTCAAAGAGTGCCGGATGACCGGCCTTCCATCAGCGCCTGATGCCCGAGTCAGCAAGGATCGTGGAGTGTTGCGTGCTACTGGTCCTGCCTCGGGGCTCGAACATTACCGGCAATTAATCTTTGGCTCATGAACGAGAGCATTAAGAATAAGTGCTGGGGTCTAGTAGTTTTGGTGTTGTTCTCACGTGCGGAGGGCATGCGCGGGTTCGAATCCCACGGGTTTCACTGTGCTGGCCCCACTGTCTCAGAGCGCTTGCGTTCCTTGGGCAAGACATAGCCTCAGTCTACCCACTAATATGAATGGGCACCTGAGAGAACCGGAATCAGATGAATCAGTGCAGTATTTCAGAAAGGCAAAGTCATTCCAGAACAAAGCACATGTGTGACTTGATATATGGCTGTGCTAGTGTCCCTGAATGACCTCAGACATGCTTCGTTTGGGGTATTTTCTGTTGGAATATTGAATTGACTCATGGAACATTGATGTTGCGCTGCTGCAAAAACTTCCAGATTTTGTGGCCCGATGAGCAGGGGTAATACTTATGACACACTTTGACACCAGTGATGACATACTGTATAAGCGCTGATCATTACAAGTATTATAATGTGTGTATACACTAGGAGACACTCACTCTGAAGTCAGTTTTGCAGAAAAGTGGAGGAAAAAATTTAACACACGGGAATACTCGAGACTGAACTGAAGATCTCAGAATTGTACATTACTCACTTGAAGGAATGCAACTGGTTTTCTCAGTTCACTTGAGACTCCAGAGATGCCTTCTCAATCAATCACCACTTCCAGGAACTGCTCCTGGTAATCCAATCGTGTGCATCCGCAGATCACATTCTTCGTCCTTGCCGACTTGCACGTGCGTGTGCACATGTAGCACAGCTGTGTACAGCGCATTTTGTTCATTGCATTTCGCACATTGTTTGTGAATGTGTATACCGTGTACTGCAGACCAACTAGGCATTTTTCTATAGTGCTTCGACACCGATTGCATGATTGTAGGCATGACACAGATTTGAAATCAAATTAG